AAATTCCATATTCACAGTGTGAAAAGAATATCTCTCCAAAACGTAGGCAGAGATACTGCCAAGCCAGTGCTTTAGAAGACAGTAAGGCATGTGGATACCTAGAGATATGAATACGGTAGGCAGAATGGACACGTGGAAGAGATGGGGTATGGTCCTAGTAAAGATATGAATATGGAAGGCAGAATGGACACATGGAAGAGATGGGGTATGGTCCTAGAAAAGATATGAATACGGTAGGCAGAATGGACACATGGAAGAGATTGGGGTATGGTCCTAGTAAAGATATGAATATGGAAGGCAGAATGGACACGTGGAAGAGATGGGGTATGGTCCTAGTAAAATAGCGTGGTGCCTCTGGCTGTTTGTGTTTATGAAGTTAGAGTTCTAATTTAAGCTTTTCTACTGAATCACTTGGGGCCGTGAGAATGTCTACTGCATTTTAATCATCCTATGCCTCAGTTTCCATTTCTACCATTTAGCTTGATAGTGCCTGGCTGAATGCCCAAGATTGTGAGAACACACTGTTCAGAACGATATAAATATATTCAGTATCCAAAACTTAAAATATCCTAGTTACTAGATGACCCAACTTCAAGTGGAAACTTTGGCAGTCATTCCTTAAAGAGTCAGGTGTCCATGCTTTCAGATGCGCGTCTATCTTGGTGAAACTGAGCAGCAAGAGTATGGTAAGGGTTTGTATTCCCAGCGATGCAGAGGCAAAAGGAGCGCAGACTTGAAATGGGACAGTTTCCAGTTTTGCCATTTCACATTTGGGTGACCTGGAATGATTTCTTAACTTCCCTCAATACCTTCATCTGTAAAAAGGAGTGAGAACTGTCATCAGGTTTGTCAGGAAGGTGAGCACGAAGGCCAAGTGAGTCCTTTCGAGCCAGTAGTAGGGGTTGAATTCAGTCATTATGGGCTTTGCAAGTGATATTTGATCTTAATATTTACTTATCTCAAACACCCTAGTCAGCAGAGCATTTGTCAATGGTACTGCTTATTGAGCACTTCTGTACTGCAGGGCTCTGCACTCTATAGCAAGCACAAGGTCGTGTGCACTCCTCCAACTAACTGAATACATGCCATTGTAGGAAGTGGAGATAGAGAGGGGCAAGCTTCATCCATTCTCTGGTTTCAGCATTTCCTCAAGCTGCCTTTCTCGTGTTCTCAGTTACATCTAATTTGGTTATGTTTTTTAAATTATTTTAAGCATAATTTTATGCTTATGTTTACATACATACATATATACATACTTTTTTTTGAGACAGGTTCTCCCTGTAGCCCCAGCTGGCCTGGAACTTACTATGTAGACCAAGTTGGCCTCCATCTCAAAGAGATCCACCTGCCTCTGCCTCCCAAGTGCTGGTATTAAAGGCATGCACCACCACATATTGCCCGTCACTTCATATTTTTAAGTCAAAAATAGCAACTAACTGAATATGTTTATATAACATTATTTTTGTTGTTTAGTCCCAGGAAAACATATACTAAATGCACTTTGTACTTGAGTACTGTACTCACTACCTGTTTCTGGAAGGCACGGAAAATGTGGCTCCTAGGAACTTAGTAAGTGCCTTAAAGAAAATAAAGTATTTCCAACATGTCATGGCAAAATGATTTAGATGTACAGTTAGAAAAAAATTATCAAGAAATTTTACATACAAACATATGTTCCTAGATATTTACCCTAATTGAATATACTCAGTCAAAATGAACCAATTACATATATGCGTTTATTTGTGTATATGTATATATATATATACATGCATGTATGTATAAATGGTATACCACTGTTGCAGAGGTCATGTTAGGGAAATTATTAGTTACCAGAAGGGTTAAGTTTGGCAAGCTTCTAAATTTCTTAATACACCTTTTAATTATTATGAAATATGCTGTTCATTTAGGAAAAATTGAAAAAATATTTTTTATACAGTGCTGCATTATTAAAGAAAGAATTGACATCTTTCAGATCAGATTTGAGCCTCAAACCCATCTCTTATTTTCCCAGGCATTTCACTAACATTTGTGAACCTCAATTTTTTCCTGTAAAATCAGAATATATTATAGGGTAGCTATGAGTTCAAAATGGACAGTTAATCCACAAGTGCGAGGAACTCTCCCTTCCCTTGGAAAAAAATCTCAAGGCAGACCTGCTGAGAGTCTGCTCTGCAGAGAGGGAAGAATCTGCTCTACAGTAAACTGTTCCTCATCCTTCTTAGGTAACAGGCTTCTAATAAAAGTGATGGGTACATTTTCTTTGTACACTTAAACATGTATACTCTCTCAGGACATTTGTGAACTGCCGTTGCTCGTCCTTTGAGCTCAGATTAAATTTTTAACTAAACTTTTGCAATCTTGACTTCTTCAAATTGTCATAAAATAATGCTATCTAAAAAACTAAACATTGGGAGGAGGGAATATAAAGATGACTAAGATATTTTCTATGAAATGCACAAAAATTCAATAAAAATATACTTTATAAAAGAAAATTTTTTTAATTTTGAGATTATCTTGTATCAAAATGAAGGAAAACCATAGTTTCTCATTTCTCATAGCTTTGAGAAGAATTTATTATCAGAATATAACCCTGTGATTGACAATTAAAAATCAGTTGGATGGAAACTTCATTCAAGCGTTTACCTTATTTGTCATCTATTTCCTAAAAGCTTTGTGTATGTGTGTATGTAAATGCGTGTGCATGTGTGCATGTGTATATGGAGGTGAGAGGACAATCTCCAGTATGGTCCTCAGGTGGCATCCATCTTTTTTTTGAATTGAGAATAGGTCTCTTGGCCTGGAACTCACTAGACTGATCAGCTGAGTCCTGTGTCTGGTTATTTTTCTAAGTGAGCTCTGGGGGCCAAACTCAAGTCCTTGTGCTTGCAAGAAAGCTCTTTATCAATGGAGATACCTCCCCAGCTCCTCTTACAAACTTTTAAAAACACAAGGAAATGTTTACTTCTGGGTATAGATCTAAATAGTCCAAGAAAGAAAATACAACAATACTTCTAGTTAATTTCATTTACAAAATTATAACCATAGCATTTTCGCATATTATGCTATTAGGACATTAGGCAGCAGAGCAAGAAACAGAATGTTCTAGAAAATAAACTTTAAAAACCAGCAAGCATCGTGTACTTTTTCCAAAAGACATTTTGTTATGCTGAATCAAAGGTGCTCTTTGGCACTGATCAGCTGCCTGGAATCATCTGCGTTCTGGTTCTCTAATGCAAAACTCCTCTGAGTTGCAGCTGACAACCATCAGCTTGTTCGGATTTCAGACTGCGTTAGAAATACAGACTGTGTTCCTTCATATAGGCCCCACCACAAAAAAGTAGAGGTAGTTCTAGCCTACACTTCTGCTGATAATTTGTTTTGGTCCTGTGTTTCAATTAGTTTATAAAAATCTAAACTAGGTAAACAGGTGCCTAAAGGTGAATGCTATTGGGAAAGACTGAGATTGCATTCGGGCCCCTCCAATGATGTGTTGTCATTAGAAAAGCAACGTTCTCTCTCTTGTTTTGTATAATGACAGAAACCTACCATCCCAAGTATGTTTGAAACCACAAATCATAATGCAAAGAAGAATTGGAAGACTGCTATGTGACTGCAAACCTTGCTGATCACTTCCTAAAGGCCAATAAAAGCGGTTTCTACCGAATTCATTGCTTGTGGACCACTGCTATTTGTATTGGGCATTATCAAAATGTTTATTCTCAATTCATTTAATTCAAAAGTGAAACTCTTTCTTGCTAACTTTTTTTTAAATTCCTTTTGTTTCTAATTTTCTCCTTGCTCTAATGTCCCGTGTTCTCCTCAGAGGGCAGATCGGAAGCTCAAAGTTCACCCTAAGTGTCTCTCTCCCCTCTTTTGAGAAGCTATGTCCTGTGGTTTCTTCCTATATTATCCCAAGATTTCTTTTCTTTTCTCTTCCTTCCTTTCTTCTTTTCACTATCTACTTTCTTCCATCTTTCCTTCTTTTTTAATGACCATTTTCCATCTTAACTGTACCATCTCCAACTTGGACTATGTCACAGTCTATCTTTACCTGTCTCCTTCCCCTTTCCTCCAATACAGAGAGAGAGAGAGAGAGAGAGAGAGAGAGAGAGAGAGCTAGAGAGAGAGAGAGAGCGAGAGAGAGCGAGAGAGAGCTAGAGAGAGCAAGAGAGTGAGAGAGAGTGAGAGAAAGCGAGAGAAAAAGAGAGTTACTGCGGGAGTGGTTGTGGCTGCTCTTTGCTGCTCCAGCGTCCTCGGTAGACCCTTACCATCTGGAAGATAATATCCTTTTCTGTCTCATCCTGTCTTTCAGCCACGGGCACACTAGTCTTCCCTGTGACACTCATTGTCACCTTTACTTGCTTGCTCCCAAGGCTTGGCTCCCAACATGTCCATGGTCTTCCCTTCCTCTCTGTCATCTGCATTTCCCAAGCTCTGCTCAAAGCGTCACTATCTCATGAAGTGTCTCAATGTCTCACACTCACCATGACCTAATCTCCTGAAGTAATTCTGCTAATCATGTTTGGAAAGTTATTAATTGATTCTCATCTCTGAAGGCAGTAAAATTGTGTCACGGTCTTTATCTTTTACTGAGTGTTGTGTCTTCTTACCCATCTTTCTGGGGTTTACTTTAAGGCAAGAAATGTAATGTACCCATTTGTCCCTAGAGCAATAGTTCTCAATCTTCGGCACTGCTAAGAATCATCCGTGGAACATTTTAAAATTTCTTTGGGCTCCACCCTGGAATAATC